GGAGGACACCAGTATCCTCACTGTCTGGCAGTGCCCACAGAGTGTCTCAGGTTGGCGTACAATATCCACACAGGCCAATCCGAAGCAATGAGAATTACCTTGAGCTTGCCTACAGTTTCTTCTGTTTGCCGGTGGCCAGTCTCCTGTAAGCAGCAGTGTAACCTTTCGATGGATGAGATAAACACTTTAACATACATAAAACACAGCAAAAAAAAAAAAAAAAACAACCAAAAAAAACTATTAGGGCTGCAACTAATGATTATTTTCATAATCGATTAGTTGGCCGATTTATTTTTGAATAAATCGGACAAAAAAAATAAATTAAAAACCATCCTTAAAAAAGGAGAAATATGAGGCGAGTGAAAATTACTCATCCTCATAGTTCGAGCCGACATGTGACAATGAAGCAGTCACACATCGGCTCAATAGATCGGAAAGTGAGTGAACACATACAGTCACTCGCTCACTTCTCGATCATCTCCCTGCAGAGAGCAGTGACTGTCACTCACCGCTCCCTGCAGGGATTCCCCCTCGCCTATCCGACCCTCAAGCGCCGAGTGGAGGAATGGATGGGGGAGGGGGCAGGCACAGCTGGCTCTTCCTTTTAGATAGGCAGAGCCCGCTGTCACTCACACAGCTGGTTGGATCTCGACAGCATTGTCGGGATCCGCCCTGGCTGCAGCGGTCTCAGTATATAGCAAGCTGTAGCTCGCCATAAACTGAGCTTTGGGTCACGGGAGGACGCTAGTATATGTCCTCCCGTGACCCTTAAGAGAACTATGGGGAAAAACACTTACGTCATAGATCTCTTTTAATTTAAAATAAAATACACAAATGCCGTTACAAACTGTACTTCAGAATAAAGCTGCATGCACAATTTTTTTAAATTGCACAGCATCGCGGTACCATGCGTTCCATTGCGGCTAATCACACTGTGGGTTGGAGGCACGTTTATGGTGCCAATGATATGAATAAAACTGCAATACACCTTCAGCAGCAGAACTTGTCAGGCCGAAACCGAAAATGATTTTTTCCCACAAAATTCATAATTTTTTTTTAAAAATAATTGTATTGTAAGCCCATGGCGCTTGAAAAGCTTCAACCCGGGAATGACAGCTGCCGGTGGCAAGATTCTGAATAGGGCAGCTGAATGTAAATACAGCAGGTAGTGGGCTGGTGCAATAGCCAGGCTGCTATTGGCCATTTCAAATTGCAATAGCCAATAGCAGGCTAGCTATTGCACCCGCCCACTGCTTGCTGTTCCCTAGTCCCAGCGTGGAGGAGAGCGCTAGGGGATCTAACTAATCGATAATGAGAATAGTTGACAACTATTCTCATTAATCGATTATCATCGATTGATCGATTAGTTGGTTGCAGCCCTAGTATCAATGACTGCTCACTAGCTCTGTTGCTTTCCACATACAGCATTGCCAAAATGCAAGTTCTTGCTTTAATATTCTTCTTCAATCCAAAGCAGTCCCCTGCAGTACATCCTCTTTACAAGATATCCTCATTGGATGCAGAACCTCATGGCCCCACACCCTGAGCATGGCGCCTTGCATTCACAGTGTACTGATGCAGAAACTGGCGCCAACGTCATCACCGCTCTCTCCATCTCCAGGTCTGTTCCACCACCGGGAGCAGACCAATAAGAAGAGGACCCACTGCATCACATGACCAGTCAAGGCATACTGCTGGGAAAGGAGAGGGGGTGTTTGTGGTAGCAGAATGGAGACTGGGGTTGGCCTTTAAAGCTAGACATGTTTTTCATTGCCTCAGGCCAACCTGGTTTTACAGTGGTAGTGTTGGCCGCTATGGACTTTCAAACTATTCAGCTTCAGTTTTGGTTCTAAATAGTTTCAGTTAACATACCACCTTCCGGGGAATATTGCTCGTCTGCCTCCTCTGTACAGAGCTGTGGGTCATCAGTGGCAGAAGAACCAGAGTCTAAAAGTTTCCGGTGCTCCCTCTCATGAGTCCTCAGCTGGCTCTGTAAAAGGTTACAATTATTTAGCTTACAGTAATAAAAAAAAAAAACCCCCAAACACCAACATTGTCATCAAAAACATAAAGCAGAGACACATGAAATGACACAAATATGTAGCAGTGCCCAGAGTAAACACAAGGCTCATCAATGGATCTTATACACTAATTAACTAGCAAGGAAACACATTTTAGACACAAGAAGCTAACACTTCGAATGGTAAATAAAATATTTGTAGCTACGGGGTAAACTGGAAACACAACAAAGGAGAGGAAAAGAAGCTAGAAATGCTTTGCATGTTTTTAATATACACCGATCAGCCATAACATTCTAACCACTGACAGGTGAAGTGAATAACATTATTCACCTCATTACAAATGGCACCTGGAAGTGGGGGGGGATATATTACAATGGCACCTGGAAGTGGGGGGATATATTACAATGGCACCTCGAAGTGGGGGGATATATTACAATGGCACCTCGAAGTGGGGGGGTATATTAGGCAACAAGTGAACATTTTGTCCCTGAAGTTGATGTGTTGGAAGCAGAAAAAAATGGACAAGCGTGAGGATTTGAGGGACTTTGACAAGGGCTAAATTGTGATGGCTAGACGACTGGGTCAGAGCAACTCCCAAATTGCAGCTCTTGTTGAAATGTTCTCGGTCTGCAGTGGTCAGGACCGACCAAAAGTGATCCAAGGAAGGAGAACTGGTGAACCAGCAACAGGGTCATGAGCGTCCAAAGGCTCATTGATGCCCGTGGGGAGCAAAGGTAGCCCCCCAACTCACAAGACTTAAAGGATCTGCTACTGATGGCTTGGTGCCAGATACCACAAAACACCTTCAGAGATCTAGTGGAGTCCATGTCTCGAGTGGTCAGGAAAAGTGGGACCTACACAATGTAGGTGGTCATGTTATAGCTAATCAAATAGAGTGGAGGGGTATTGGAATCCCTTTCAGATTCACCCCATCCTCTTTACCCAGGTGACCATTAGTGAGAGAAAATCTTGAGTTGATACCAGAGCAGGAATAGAGGGGAAATCTTCCAATGGGGACACTAGTTCTGGTGACAACTAGGCATTTCCCTCCCTTTAGAGGGATTTTATTTTTTAATCTATGGGACAGGAAATAAAGGAAACCCCCCCTTCCCCAATGGAATGGGGCACAAAACACAGACAGGGGTTATAATTCTGCCTTACTCTATCCAAAATAAAAAACTTTGTGTATGTAAACCCAAATACTAAAGTTGTGGAAACAGTTCCCCTTTTACCTAGTATATGCAGTTGTGCAAGGTTTTATATTTATGTGAGTAAATGTTTAACCAGTGGTGGACAATGAGCGTACGGCACTTAATTGGAGTACACAGGGCATGTATAGTACACCCCGTCCTTTTGCCCCCATGCCGCTCCACTCCTGAGGGCCGGTTCACACCACAAACAGTGCGTTCCAGAGCAGCCAGCCTCTTGAACGCCTTGTTTTGTAATCTGGCCGGCTCCCTGCATTCAGGGGCAGGAGGGGGAGTGGCGGTGCATTGCAGCATTTTTGCAGATCGCATTGGACCGGAATGCAGGCACTAATGTGCCAGGCATTCAGGTGCGGGCCATCGTACTGCGGGCAGTACGGCGTGGCTGCGGTGCCATTGACTTCAATGCACAGCCACACACCCTCCCGCCCCTGAACTCAGGGAGCCGGCCGGTTTGTGATACAGTGCGTTCCAGAGGCTGACCGCTCTGGAATGCACTGTTTGTGGTGTGAACCGGCCCTGAAACTTGCTGGAAATTCCTGATTGCCCAAATCACAACCAGGGGTGCAGCTGTACAAGATGTTTAGCATCTGAGACAATGGGGTTGATTTACTAACCTTATAAACACACCACGAACATGTATACACCTCTGTAGTGTGTTCCCTCCCAGCATGATCTATTGGTGGAATCTAAACACCTTTGTAGTGTGTACACACCCAGCAGGTGTGTTGTGCAAAGCCCTGCATGAATTTGCAAGGAGATGTTGTGTAAATTAGCTCTATGTTGTGTTGCTTGCGTTGATGAATGCAAAGAATGTAAATGCATGAGCTAACCATTTTTGTCTAAACTGTGAAGCAGCATTATATATGCACCATGTGCATGATTTTTCCATATATGGCATTAGTGGAAATATGCTTTTAGAGACTTTTTGGTTGATAAATACGTTTTGCTGTGTAAAAATCACACGCACCTAGTGTGTGCGTGTGTTTAGGTTAGTAAATCACCCCCAATGTCTTCTCCTGTTATTGCTGCTGGTGGTGTACTTTATGCATAACACCATCTAGTGGGGAGAAGCACATCCCATTCACACTGGAAGGGTGGCAAGGGATGCAGTATTTCATAATTTGTTTGTATGGACTTGACAGGCAAAGGAGGAGAGGTCAGAACCGAATGTTGTATTTTAACTGTGATGTATCCCAGGAAAGCTTCATACAATCGATCCACATTTAAAAAACCACCAGGGAGCGAGTTGTCACCATACAGATACCTACCTTGTAATAAAAGGATTCATTGCAATTCTTGCATTCATATTTGATCGCCTTACAATGGTTGATCATGTGGTTCTCCAAGTCACCGCTGTTTTCTGCTATGTGCTCACATATCGGGCACTGGTAAGGCTGCCTCTGCCGATGAACGCGCAAGTGCTGCTTAATGTAACCTTTATTGTCACTGGTGTAATGGCACAGGCGGCATCGGTAAGGGCGTTCAGCGCAAGGCAAGTACTCCACGAGGCCATTGTTAGAGCCGAGGTCGCTGGTGTTCTCGTTCTGGGCATTGTCCTGCAACTCTTTCAAAATGTCATCGTCTGTGGCATTCTGATCAGTCCTTTCCCTCAGCTTCTCAATCACTTTAAGTAAAGACGTGCTTATCCCCGTTTTCATTGGGGTCTGCGTCAGCTCACTTTTCTCTCTTGTATCCTTCTGGTTAAGAGCCTTTAGTTCCTCGGGGACCTTAGAGGATTCCACATTGGGACAAGTGCCATAGTTCTTGTCACCATCTCCCTGCCCAGTGTCTGGATCAACTGAACCTGGATCATTGATCAGCCGTAGGCTGTATTTGGGACATTCCACGACTTGGATAGGCATGGTTACCAGCGCCTCAGCAGCCAAAGAATGAAGCCTCAAACACTCCGAGTTTGTCCTCCTCCGCACTGGTGGCGAATTCTCATCGGAGACTACAAAATCTGAGCTGTTCTTTGCAGGGTTACTCCATCCAATAATGATTTCTTCGCTTTCTACCACGTTTTTATCAGCATGATAAAGTTCGACAGACCCACCAAGGTGGGATTCAAGTTTCTTTTTCACTTCGGCGTCTGCATTTAACACAAAAGGTTTCTGGGAACCAGTTTCTTCGGCACCGGGCAGGCGTTCCACAATAACATTCACGTGCCCCTTTGTGTTTTGGCTACAGCTGATTATTTTCTGAGCGGACGAGAGCAGGCTCTCTCTGATCAAATTATCTTGATCGGTGTCGGATGCGGCATCGTCATCTACTTCTGTCAGGGGACCCGGAGCGGCTGACTGAACTTGCGTCTCCGTCTCTTTTATCACAACGTCCTTTGGCATCGCGCTGCATTCTTGAGCACCGGAGTTCTGCACGTGCTGCTTCACCTCTGTATTTTCTGATAGCACCGATTCACTTCCTTGCGGTGTGTGTGCAACGGTGGAATCTGGTAAGCTGGCAGACTCATTCTCTTCCTCGAATATGGGGTAGGAGCAGTCGACCTCCCCAGCGTGCTTCCAAGCATGAGTTTTCAACATTCTCTGCTGGCCACAAGTGTACCGACAGATCAGGCATCGGTAAAGTCCATACGCTTCATAGGCATACCATTTCTTTCTTGCTGGCTCGGGGGCATTTGGACTGAGTGGCTTGTCTTCTTGTGGCTGGTCTTTAACCTGTGAAGGTGCAGTGACCTCGTTTTCACAGTGCGTTTTAATATGAGCTTCAAGCTCGCCGTGAGATTTAAAAGTCAAATGGCACTCTGAGCACATTAAAATGATTTCGTTCTGCTGTCCGTGATTTTTCACGTGGGCTGCGAGTGTTTCAAAAGAAGAAGAGATAAACTTGCAGAGGCTGCACTGGTAGAACATGACTTTCCTGCCGCTTGCTGAAGGGCTCTCTATCGTACTGGCTGTAGTTTCCTCCTTGATCCTCTTGGTGCTGACTTCAGCTAGGTCGGCCATCTTGGACACCGGCTGGACCTCTGCCTCTTCTACCGGGTAGGAACGTTTTTTCCCTTCAAGAGTCCTAGTGGCCTGCTCACCCTTTACCATGGCAGTAAGCTTCTGGATCACGTTAATCAAGGGGTCATTACACTTCTGTTTCATCTCTGGCTTGGTATTAGTCTTTGCATCTGGATCACCTGACCTAGCATCAACGTTTGACATCCGGATCCCAACACTTTCCTTGTTTTCCATCACACCTAAAAAAGGTAAATAAAAAAAAGAAGAAGAAGTGTCATTTACAGAAGACGGCAAAACAGATATATCAATCTTCACAGACATTTACCTGGTTCCCTTCTAAACATGGGGCAGAAAATATTTTCCATCGATGGCCAGTACTGATCAGGATGTCTATATGCTTGCTGTGCGTGCAATTTAAAAAGTTCTAAGCAGGGATGCACAGATACCGGTATTTCGCTATCGAGTACCGATATTTTTTTCCCGCCGATACCGGAAGTCCCATTAAGGAAGCCAGGCGGCGTGTAATGACTCGCCACCCGGCTTCCCGATTAGCAGGGAAGCCGTCCCCATGCTTCTCGTCACTATGTGACGAGAAAGCATGGAGTCAGCTTTCCGGCCAATCAGGAAGCGGGCCGCCGTGTAATAATGCGTTGCCCCGCTGCCCGATTGGTCGGAGCTGGCCAATCAGGAAGCCAGGCGCCGTGTAATGACACGGTGCCTGGCTTTCCGATTGGTCGGGAAGCCGGCTTCATGCTCCCTCTGCACCTCATGACGAGGGAGCATGGAGCAGGCTTCCCGGACAATCAGGAAGCCGTGAGCCGCGTCATTACACAGCGCCCGGCTTCCTGATTGGCCAGAAAGCCGGCTCCATGCTTTCTCATCACCTAGTGACGAGAAGCATGGGGACGGCTTCCCTGCTAATTGGGAAGCCGAGTGGCGAGTCTTTACACACTGCCCGGCTAATTAGGTTACCAGGTAGCGAGTCATTACACGCCGCCTAGCTTCCGGAAACGGTACTTGGTATCGGCGAGTACTGAAAAAAAAAAATATCCGTACTCTTACTCGTTACCGAAATACCGGTATCGATGCATCCCTAGCTACCAATTGCTTGGTAGTGAAAACAATGATTTGGAAAGGGCTTCCAAATGTTTGTCAGTAGGATCCTTATACAATGGGACATCCTCAACAGGAACAGACAGAAATTCTCTGCAAATGGGTATTGGATCTGACAAGTGTTTGGGGAGGAATAAACAACTTTTTAGGAGTTTCCCAGTCTTCATACAAAATAGGTTGAAGGAATGTACTGGAACAGTTTTAAACAGTCCTTTTAAGGCAGGAGACTGAGGCTCCTCAGGGACAGATTATTCTATTAGGGTTTGTGAGGCTCTTCCTCAGAAAGAACTGCAGCTGCAGAAAGCTCTGAGGCCGATAGCTGCAGGAATGTCAAAACAATGAGTTTGGAGGGGAAGAGGCACAATTATGACCCCTTCCGTTTAGAGTAAGCAATCATAATTGTAATTTTGTCCATAAGCTCCAACATGACTGCTGAGAACTCCTCCCTGGAGAGACCTGGTGCAGGGGGACACCTCCCTTCGTGCTTATGATCAGACATGTTCTACTGTTTAATAAAAACAACTTACTAGAGATCACCGGGCCGGGGGCCTCAGTCACTGTAGGCGGCAGGAAGTAGTAACTGTGGAAAAGAACTGTGCGCCCTTTGCTAGTAGGGGCAATGGTGGGAAGACACAACGTCATGCTGAAAAGGCAGAAAACAGAGTGCATGCCTGACACTGCACTAGCAACGCAGCTCAGATCGGAGCGGGGAGAGGGGAATCCAGCCCCTCCCCTGTCACGGCAGAGAGCCGTGACAGGATCGAGAGGTGAGCGAACGCCTGTATGTGTTCGCTCACCTCCCGATCTACTGAGCCGACCTGTGACAGTCTCATTGTCACAGGTCGGCTTAGAACTATGAGGTGAGTGGAAATCACTCATCTCATAGTTCTCCTTTAAAGCCAAACTCTGGGCACAAAAACTTATTTATATACATCCCTCAATTGCCACGAAGGCTATAAATCCACTATGAGTGCACCAAATGCCTTTGCACACCCAGTTATTGCCTTGCAAATGTCGCAGTGACATCACTGTCCAAAGAGCAGAGCTGTGGGAGGAGCCCAATTGCTCCACCCAATACAAGTTGCCTGCAGAAGACCACAGGAGGGGCGGATACAAGACCAGTCACCCTGCACAAGGAGAGAGCAGCAGTGACCGGTTTTATTACAGGAGGGGGCGGAGACAATACCAGTCACCCTGCACAAGAGAAGAGAGCAGCAGTGACCGTTCTTTATTACAGGAGGGGGCGGAGACAATACCAGTCACCCTGCAGAAAGAGAGGAGCAGTAGTGAGCGGTCTTTATTACAGGAGGGGGCGGAGACAATACCAGTCACCCTGAACAAGGAGAGAGAGTAGCAGTGACCGGTCTTTATTACAGGAAGCTCCAAGTCTCACATTGGATTATTGCATAGAACTGGAAGAAATACATAAAACTCACCAAGATTCTGTGTACGTTCGCAGCAGCAGCCTCACTTAACTGGATTGCTGCCGATGTGCATGCCCCCCAGACCGCGCCGATGCGCTCGATTAAGCAGCATCGCGCTGTTTGTTTTTTTTTGGTTAGAACTTTATTGAAATGTCACAAGTGACATTCAGTTCTATGGGCTCGCTGTGGTGCAATGTGGTTGCATCACTTCTCCCTGTAGTGCGCTTACAAAAGTACTGCATGCCGTACTTTTTGTAAGCGCACACCACCGGTACGCAGTGGTGTGAACCGAGCCCATCCACGACGAGGCATATTTCCTGGTCTTGCCCGTTTTTCCAGCACAGCCCGAACGCAGATGGTGTGAATGGGCCCTAAATGAAGAATATACATGGCCCTTGTATTTAGTTTATACAGTGGTACCTCGGGTTCACGAACTTAATTCGTTCCACGATTCTGGTCACGAACCGAATTGGGCGCGAACAGAATCAAATTGTGACCAGACCGCGATCTCAACTAGAGGAAGCCACGACCAGTGCCAGAGCAGGGAAAATGGCTGCGGTCGTGTTCGTCACCCGATGCGGAGTTCACGAACGGAAGCAAAATTTTGCCGAACTTCCTGTTCGCGAACAGAAGCGTTCGTGAACCAAGACACCACTGTATTTGCTTCTCCCGGAGTTGAACAGTTCGTAGAGAAATAATCGCCACCACCCAAGGACAAGGTGTCACCATACAGCCACCAACCAAATGAGACCGGTCACTTTTCTAGAAAAGTATTCCTCTGACCACAACGACTCATCCTTTCTTGTACCTAGATCTATCACACGCAGACCGCGGCAGTCTCGGAATCAGACAATCCCGTCCGTGTAGAACGTGCTGGCTACACACTGAACTTTTATTTCCCTTCCTCAAATGATTTACTTAACTGAGCAGAAAAGAAAACAAACCGCAGAAGAGGTATTTTGCAGGCTACAGGTCAGTGACTCTTGTCGGGTACGGTCCCCTCCAGCACGTGGTTCTGGAATGCAGTCACAGATCAATGCTTCACGTGAGAACAAAAACACAAAGTAAACTTTTCAAGAAAGACCTGACCTGTATACATGTAGCTGCCATTCAACAAATGTTACAAAAAGGAATATTTTGCATTTATACTCACTCAAAGGAACAGCCTGCAGAATAAAAGAAGAACTTTACCCAGATCATTGAAATGACAACAGAGCCAACTTTAGAAATGTTTGTTAATGGCAATCTACAGATACTTCTAGATAATATCCGGCTTCCCTTGCAGGGTCCTATGGAGCCACCCTTGTATGTGCTAATAAGCTATGTAAAATACCACAAAGTCACTCGCACTCCATTTGTAGATAACAGTCAATCTCCTTTACTGACTGAGCATGATGTCACATACACAAAGCAACACCGTTTTCATGAAGAAGGGACTGCCTGGTCCTGAAACGTCGCGTGTACGTCACATGTTCAGTCAATAAAAGGAGATTGACCAAGTGCGAGTGACTTTATGGTATTTTGCATTTGATGTGTGGAGGCATTCGCTGTCACTTTCGGCACCCCCCAGTTTGCGTTTGGGCTTTACTTAAAGCAAACTTTGTAGGAAGCTTCCTTTGCCCTTTAAACTGCTCCCCATGGCACACAGATCTCTTCTTTCAGGGCCGGTGCAGACCTGGACGATCGGGGACGTGCGCCCCGGGACCACGCGATTCTCCACAATTGCACACCGCGGTGACCCATTGATTTTAATGGGGTTACATCTGCGTGACAATTGCAGAAATAAAAGAAGGTACATGTACCTTTTTATTGCAACACGACGTGCGGCTGTTTTAGCCACGATCGCGTTCGATTGCACGGGTGGAATTGTGGCGGGAAACCGCGCTATTCGGATGCCAATGGAAAATAATGGCACCGCCAGCAAGATCGGCAGTGGTGGCCGACTCCGTGCCCGCACGACAATCCGTGTGGTATCGTGCACGATTCCCGCGTGGTCACGGATCGCCCAGGTGTGAACCCTGTGGTCTCATTTATGAATCTGAGCGGTCACCATTAAACAAAGAAGCCGATTGGCTCTCATGAGGTGGGGGGCCGTGCTGGTGTTTCACCTACTTGTCTGCACAGTACCCATTGCATGCATTTGCTTTGTACCGTGTGTTCAGTACTATTAAAGCAGAAGCAATGCTGGCGAATCTGCCGTTACTCTTGAACAATGGGGAAATGCAATGGAAAGAAACTTCTTCAGAAAGTTGTTCCTCTTTTCCTGGCTATAAGAACCGCAGTATAGTCACCACCAACAATGATGTGGTATGTGAGGTTGGCTGGAGGTCAGGCCTAGACTGCTTATCACCTCCTGGAATGTCAATTCCTTAAAAGGCTGCACAGCTGTACGGACTATAACAAGGAGCCGCTCCCGGGGCCCACTACAGTCATGGACACCGAGCTCTGATTTATCACCATTCTTCTCAGGAAGCCATAGAAACTTCTTTACATAGTTCTCAACCTCCTCACAGTCACGTAGAAGAGCTTTGAAGGCAATTTTGTTGTCAGACGCTCGGCATTGCAGCTGTGGAACAACCACTGGATGAATTAAACAAAGTCAAAATTGGCTTTAAAAATAAATACACTCAAGGTGTATGCAAGAGAGCAAAGAAAGCAGCCACAGCCCGAGTAGAGAGGTCTGTGGCCTGCCAGCATGCTGC